AAAAAATCTAAACACACGAAAAAGTCAATGTGTATACTCACAAAACTATGGGACAAATATAAAAAAAAAACTGCGTTTCTAATTTTTCTCTCTGACGTCAGGATTTTTTTAAAGGACTTTTTAGTTTCAAAGGTATGATTAATTCCAACAATTTTTTTAAAAACTCAGTGCAGTGTAGAATAAGAATATTGGTACCAAATGAAAGAGAATATTCTGTAGAACTAAAAAATAATATATATTTTTTTTACAAAGACGAATATTCCCTTTTAATTAATTTTAAGTTTTTAGACTTATATATTTAGTAGGATGAATTTCGAAATCGTGGTTTGGGTGTATTTTTATTAGTCGTTAATATATAATATTTTCTAAACCAAGTCTTGCGAAATTTCGAGGATAAAATTTTAAAAGGATATTTTTGTACCTCCTCATCCTTATGCACCAAACAATTTAATCTGCTTCAATTTACAAAAATTTTTATAATAATTTTTTGAAGTGATCATATTTTTCACATTTCAAAGTGCTTCCAAAAAAATCCTGACGTTAGAAATAAAAACTATATTTGACCTATGATTTCGCGAATATATTTGTATGTATTGTTTTTTTTTATGTAAAAAGGACGCACGGTGTTATATAAACAACCGCAAAAGATCAGTGGCAAAAAATTTATTAAAAATCAAAGCGAATTCATAGCTGCTTAAACTGCCAAACTGTCTAGTCATGCTGTCGAGTTTTACGTTAAACAAGTCTTGGAATGGTCTAGGAAAGTAGTTTGTCTGTACGAGTGACAGACTGGCATCACCGTTGGTAGTCTCATTTGCTATTTCATTACCCGCTACTCCTTTCTGGCCGGACACCCGATAGATATGCAGTCTTTTGTTTGCGACCAGCCTGTCAATGGCTTCTCGCTAACTGCCTTAACTGTCCCCTGATCGTCTACGTACAAGTTTACTTTTTGAGTTGATTGTCATTGCGGCGTAGACTAGCTCTGCCGCTATCTTCATAGAGAAAACCTCTGCTTGAAATATGCTACCTGTCCAGGTACTCGAGCACCCACTCCCTTTACCATTTTAGTGCCGTCGGTGCAAATGTATAGGGATCTGTTTCGTTCCCTTGCGCCGTCCCTCCTCCTAAATCGTTGTGCGAAATTTTCATTACCAATGAAAGCAAAGTGCAATGTATAAACTATGCCTTTCACCGTAATTGTGCTGCACCCAGAAGCTCTGTAATTGAATTCTCCACAATTTTCCAGGATGAGGTTAATGGGCGGTGAATTTAAAATTCCTTCTAGAGCAGCCAATGCGTGAAGATTTTTCTGCGGCATGCCACCAAAACAAGGCGCCATAGAGAAGTCTTGGCCTGAGTCTCGGTCTGACTATTGCTTATTAGCATCAATGCATCAGGATAGCAGACAGACCCCAAGTGAACTCCAAAACTCGTTCGCTGCTTCCTCAACATTGGACTTCCAGATAAGCTTACAATCCAGATAATTTCTGTGGTCTTTAATTGGCCACTCTATGGTACACCCAGCCTCGGGAATCTCCACACTGGACCTTATATTTTCTTCTGAAGAGTATCAGGTCCGGTAAAAGGTCTGTGCGAACCCCTAGCCCCACACGAGATGCCCACTGGTCAATGAATTTCAGGGAGTTGTCGCCTACGTTACTGATAATGTTTAGGTACTTCCGTGTTAGCCGTAGTAGGGTAATGTGCTCGGGGTGCCTTCCTCTCAAATTGCTTTAGTAAATGTTTGATCATTAAAGCATATTCCTTGTATTCTAGAGCCTTCTCAAAGTGTTGTACTAACGAGTGTAGCGCTGTATCTGTGGACTTGCCTTTAGTGTACGCATGTCGCACCTTGGCCAAAATGCCTGGCGACATAGTTGACCCTGATGTGAATGTCACGAATTTTGTTCAGCGTTTTTGGGAGGAATGAGGTTAAACTTATGGGCCTCTATTCCTTTTGGTAAAACTGTGTTGCTCTTACCTGTCTTGGGGCAAGCCCCGCTTCCCTCCACAGTATAGAAAAAAATTGTGAACACTTGCTTGAGTCACTGTATGTACGTCATCCGCACTAAACGACGACTATTCTTAGATGGCTCATATAACAAACGAGATTTGCTTCTCTGTCATCCAATTGAGGTAAATCGAATTTTTCGACCTTTTTTTTTATAAATTCGATTTGTTATCAATTTGATGGTAGTTAATCTCAATAAAAACACTGAAAATAGAGTGGCTAAATTCTTTGACCTTCTTTTGGAAAGTAGTATTTTATAATATTTTATTTACACATAAGGGTGGTGTGCTTATTGATATGGGTAACCACGTGGATATGTCTTCCAGCTTCCCTGCTACGGGGAACTGCGTTGAATAATTTCAAGGCCGTTGTCAACTCACCAGGGCCAGTAAATCTTCTGCAGAATTTTTCTTTCGAACAATCCAAGTGCCGCTCAATCGGATGTTTTCAACAGTCGCTGCAGTGCCAAGGCTCGAATGCGCAGACTGCTTGCTTTATCGCAGGAGATATATCACCATGTTCCTCTTCACTTCCGGTACAACTCGATTTGCTTTCGTATCCAACTAGGAGCGGTTGTTGGGGATGACGAAGTCGATGTCATCGACACATGACAGCATCTGTACGCTCTTATAAAAGGTATTTCATAAGGTTCTGTTATCGATTGGAATCAACTCTCGGTTTCGTGACGTCGAAAGGGGTTCTAAAATCGAAAAAGAGATGATGAATTTATATCCTCTTCTCGTGGGACTTGTCTTAGCTTTAGCATACTGTGAACACCTTTCATGCTTGGCAAAACCTTATATACCGTCTTTCTTTTTAGTTGGACAGATCCCATCTAAACTTCAGCCGACAGAAATGTTTTCGGTGTGCCACTCTTATTCTGCAAGGAACTTGTCACGGTCTCAAAACCTTCCGTAAATCACGGCACATTTGCATGTAATTTTCTTGCATTATTCTTGGCAACCAGCAGCTCATTATACTCACATACTTTGGCCTCCTGTCTTCAGCTCCCTACATCGAACCCACATACTTAGTTCCTGTTGCACCGGATAAGCAGTAGCTATACTTCCAGCGCTCAAAGCTTTATGAAGAATTTGACATGTTTACGCCTTTGAAGATAACCTTAACTTGATTTGGTCGCTGTGTGGATCTTTAGTCTTTCCGGTTTCAGCTAAGTTTACTTGGTTGCAGAGCCGGCTTTATGAACCACGAACTTATCATTCTTCGCTACAAAGTGTTCGTTGTAGAAAAACGAGTATGCCGAAGCAAACGCTCTAGATCGCTATGGGATTTCTCCGACTTCAATAACTTTCAGACGAACTCCTAAATAGACTTCGGCTATTTCATCGGTCATAGCCTTGAAGAGCTTCGCGTATTTTTCGTACGACTCGATGTCGAAATTCAGAATTATTTATATCGTTTACCGAATGTTTCCTTGCAACTTCACGAAATGCTACTCTGATACTTGATGTTTCCCAATCGGTGGTTTGGCCAGACGACGAGCGGTACTACGTTCTTGGTGGGTGACTTTAGGGGCGTGTATTGAGACTTAAATTTTCGTTTGTATCCACAAGTAGTCATACGGGTATTGGATCCGCTGTTCACGGATATGGTTTATTGCTTCCGTTGCTGACTAGGAAGAGGTCGCTGCTGGTCGAATTAGCTACAAAACCATAAGTGTCGATTGACTACAACTGATCTGTTTTACCGCCAATATTTCAAGTTTTTCATTCTGTGGAATTATTGTCGTACGATAAGGTTGACTGGTTCATTAGAATGCTTACCGATTTGCCACTTGAGATTAAGTTAGCGCATAAGAGTTCTTTCTTGTTACTTTTCTCGGGGACATTGATATTTTTTTCTACCGTAGCATTCTCGTGAACTTGTACATTGTTCATGCAATTTAGCCGACCTATTTTGAATTAAAAATGAAATAATGCTTCCTCGCTGCCATTTAAGCAGAAACTGCGGCAGATCCTATTGCAGGAAAGTTATATTTTAAAATAAATAAATACTAAGACTGGTGATAGTTGCTACAACCCTACACAAATCTACCATTGGCCTATTTACGAGATGCACAAGTCTTGTTCTACTAAAGTAAGGCCAAAGTTCACGTGCAATTTTATAATTCTGGATATTTGATAATCTCTGTCCAGATTTTCTGTTTTTTGGCATCTTCTCCAATGCCTTCTAGTTAAGAAGAGCACCTGTCTGAGTTTGCTACACCATAGCCCATAGATGGGCTTTCTGTCGGAATGTTTCCTATAATTGAGCCGAGATGGCTATCCTAATATAAACTCTTACCCAAAGTTTGAACTTGAAATCGGCACGGGTTATCGTCGTCCTATAGCTATGAAGGTTTTCAGTAGGAGACCTAAACCAACTTAAAAAGTATAGGTTTCTCTGGTACTACCGTCAGATAAATCATTGGAAGGCGGAATTGAATTAAGCTCTATGGTCGGCTCTTTTTCAGCTCAAAAGTCAGGAGTCAAGCCAACCCGGGGTTTTATTCAAGCTATATTGTGATACCCACTGTGGCGGAGGGCCAGCTCTTTCAACGAAACGACACAAGCTAATTTTGTTTTGCATACTCAATTCAAAGGCTTGAATTTGAAATTGTCTACAAATCTTGATACTATTCTTAGGGTTAAAGAGATTGGCGAGAGCTGACCCATACCAACTGAAATGTCTTCCTTGCTATGATACCAAAACAAATCAAAATGAGTAGCAAATGAAGAGTAAAAAGGTTTAAAATGCTACAATTTTGACAACAACCTACTAAGTGTAATCAAATGAAAAATCAAAATAATTTAAAACCGCTTGATTGAGTGCCACGTATTGAAAACCTATCAGCTTTTATTAACCAACTCAGCTCTACCAAAAGTAACTAGCTTTCATATCTCACACATTCTGTACTGAATTTTTATTAAGACCCTCTTCATCTCGCCACCTTCTTCACACTACGCGCTCTCTTCTCAACACTCACCTGCAGCATCGGCAGAAAGAAGCATAAAAATTGGCCGAAAATCCAATTCTGTATGAGCATCACCATCAGCGTTATGGGCAAGACCAGCGCACACTGCACAAAGTGGCACAATGCCAAATTAACAATGAACGCGTGCGTCACATCTTTGTAGAGGCGATGGTACATCACATACGCTATAATGGCCACGTTCATGGCAATGCCGATCAACGCCAGCGCTGCGTACTGTATGAGGAATATCCAATAGACAGATTTAATGCTCGCTTTCAAAATGGGCCCATTAACATGGTCCATCGCCTCGGTGTCGTTGAAATCACCAGTCAGGAAATGGGCAATAACCATCAAATATTTCTCTGGTATGTCTTTCAATTTTAGCTCCATTTCTTGTTGCTGTTGATGTTGATTCGAGCTCACGGCGGCCGCCATGCGATAGTCGAGCGCTTCATTGTTGCTCTCATCTTCACTCATATCGTTGGCGGTGTGATAGGCGTAGGGTGAGGAGCGCATTTTGTTGTTGACTTTTAGTTTTCGTTTTTATTGTTGTTTAATTGAATTGTGCGACTATGCCGCTGCTCTTTGATAGCCAAGCGTATCGTGCGTGAACTGCAAGTGAATTTCAAATTGCCACTTGGACATTTGATTGTGGATTTCTGTAAAGAAGGAGAAGGAAAATATTTTTTGTTAGTGATGTTGTGGAAACTTGTACGATTATAATAAATATTCTTCTGAATGTACTGCACTTTTGACTGGGATATTAAAATCTCATTTCAATAACAAACACACGAACATACAGTCTCAGCCCTGCCTTTTCACATATAAATCTAGACGGAGAGTATTCGACTGTGTCCACTATTACCGATTATTCTTAGTGAAGAAACCTTTAGCGGACTAGGTTAAGTTAGACTATAGAACAAGCAAAGGGCGAACTTGGAAAATTAAGAGATTGTAGTTTGTGATACCATTAAGGCCATTAATTGAGTCGCCGAAACGCCGTGAGCCGATTAAGAAATTATGAATGCCCATTTCAATGCCTGAGAGCACCTCAAGGTGAATCATGAAGTGCGTGCCAAAATGTTTCCGTTCTAGCCTCGCGAAGGCTTGGCATTCTAATAGAAAGTGCTGAGAAAATTCCAACTAATCATCCTCTTGACAGCTGAAGCAAAAGGGATTAGGGAAGATTTCTAACGTTACCGCATGAGTACCAATCGCACAATCGCATAACAGAACCCCGACTAATAGCGAGACTCGAGACTTTGCAAGCGCAGAATCTCCTTTGATTACCCCAGGCCAGAAAGATCAAGGATCTTTCAATTGCGCATGTTCTAGTTTTATTCCACCGGTCGCTGAGCCTAAATGAGGCCCTACTGTTCAATAGAGAACCGAAGGAGGACCAAGGCGTCCCTAGCTGATCCATACCCGGTGATAACATTTCAAGAGTTCCATTCTTTACAAGGTCACTATGGCCCAGCACCCAAATGAGCCTTATTATGAAGTACTCCATGCTGCGTTTCAAAATGAAATTAGTTCCATACTCATAAAATCAGTCTGACTACAGACTCAGAATGCCAGCTCTCTCTGGAGGACAATGAGACGTAAGGGCATATTTTGTGCGAAAATCAGACCTTGGCCAACAGGTTCCGTAGAACAAAATAGGCTTAGGTATGGTTCCATCGAGCAGATCACTTGCTTTCGGCCAGAGACCCCACGTCATACCAAAAAAACCCCATGCTGCAGTATAAGAAAACCGACGCCTTTATTGCCCTTTCCTCAATATTAGGCTTTCCATTACAGATTCCTATCCTGTCCTGTCCTGTTCTGTCGGAGAGCTGCAGGCAGATACATCGTGGACCATATACTTCCTAGTACACAAAACTGGCCGCCTACCTAGTTACCAAGTCCAGGTAACCTTGAACCTGATCAAAAGGGGTATCTAAAAATCGTCCTCTAACCATAAATGCCACATCTTTTGCGTGAGCGATATCCTGACAGACAATTTTTCCAGTTCCTCCAGAATGTAAGTAGTGGATTAAGATCTCTTGAATTTGTCCCAAAGTGCTGCCCTTGCGTACTGACGAGGTCAAACATTTGAAAATAACGCTAAATAAGAGAATTGGGGAAACTGTCACATGCGTTATGTGGGCTTTCACAGGATTTGTGGTTGGAATATCACATCGAGAGACCGGGAAAAGCGGATGATTAATGGTCTAGGCTGTGATCACACTTATAAATACGGAGTGTTTAATTGACTCAGGATCTGAACACTCAAATATACCTGGAAGCTCCGACTGTATTCCTATTAACACAGAGCAGTACTGGTACCAGTGAGCACTTTTTCACTTACCCCCTAGGGATTAGTGGACGGGAAATGAGAGTCGGAAGGAAGCACGGGCTAAGTTATACACGGATAGGTCGAAACTTGACGGAAGGGCTGGCCCCAGAAATGTTTTGTCTTGCCCCATCCAACGCATTTCTTTGTTGGCGGTGATGTAAATTTTTTTCCTTACGAAGGCATCAACCAGCCGAGCAGAGGCACTTTACCCATTAAGGGTCCGTAAATTCCAGGTGCATGCCCTCAAATCGTAGTCCTTTAATCGTTTGCCGTGGTCGTCATCAAAAAGAATGTTATCATCCGGGGCTTTGTATTTTTTTTTCACCTGGCATTAAGTATTGCATGACAGTGAGCGCAGGGCGATAACAAGAACATGTGCAACTGCACGCTTTTTCTGATCACAGGCTATCAATAGACCTTCTTGGGCCCTCTCTCTCTCAATTCTGGGACACTCTCCGATGAGTTTTTACCCGGTGAGACTGAATATCGCACCCTATCCTCAGTGCCATATCTGCTAAGATAAAGATGAGGTGTAGTCATCTCAAAACTTTATTTTAAGCTTCCCATCAAATGCAAGGCTACGGTCTAAATACCTAGGATTGCACTTTTTAGCTAGACCCAAGGAGATCTTCGGGTCTGCAACCTGCGAAGCTTCATTTAAGGCACGCCGCCTTAAGTGGGAGAACTTAATATGTGTTGAACGTCTGAACTCAAATGGTGACAGGCGGGATAAGCTGTGTGAAAGACATTTACAATTTGGCTGGCACAAACAAATATGACTTTTAAGGTACCTTAGAAGCATGGCCGCCCATGAATAAAATGGAAGTACGAAATGCAAATTATACGTATAAGGCGCCACTTCCCCAAAAGATATATGTAGTTTACTAGACTTTCTGGTCGCGTCCCTAGAACCAACTAAGGGGAAGAAAAAGTCTCACTAACCGACTGCGAGCCCTTTCACATAGCCTGAGGATTAGTGCAGACGATTTATGTCGGTACTGCGATATGGCACCGGAAATCCCAATGCGATAAGAAGGCTAACACACCTGGGAATGATGTAGCCAGAGGTTGCGCATATTCGCTCTCTACCGCCCTCCAAACTGCTTGGATTTATAGCAAATTCACACATCACTGAAAAAGACGATTACTTTACCCAACTTAGCTAATAGGGTGGTGCACGTACCAGCGAACAACTGGTGACTTGCCAGTCCGAAACCAAATTTTACTAAATTTGCTTTCTTACACACATACATACATATGTATGTACGTATTTTATGTACCCAACTCAAAGTACACCTTGTCAGGCACTGCAATATTTATTTATTGTACTAGCTAAAGAATAACCGAAGCTCAGGTGCAACATAAATTTATGCAGCAGCTAAACTAGCAAAGCGCCACTTATTTTCTATGCATACTCCAGTCAATTTATGGCCAATTTAGGTTAAAAAATAACCGCAAGAACGTGCAAACACAGCAAAAAATGCCTTTCACAGAATTTCAAATGAAATCCTCAAGTGGCTCATGGAAAATGCTTTTGCACGTAGTTGCAGCAAACAACAAAAGTATTTCCGTTTTCTATTCTTTTGGGAGTGTATTTTTTGCAGTTTACCTCCCGCTGATTTCTTTTTGTGCTGAAAATGCAAACGGAAAGGCGCATTTTCCACGCGTTTGCTTGCCACAAAAAGTTGCAAATAGTTCGCTGTTAAGGAAAAAAATTTGGTAGGCTTAGGAATTGTGAAATCAACGCGAATACCTACATACGTACATATGTATTTGCAAACAGAGGGCGACTAACAAGGCACGTGCGGCGCTTCTTTTACCGAATTTCGGGCTCTTTCCTTCCCCTAGGCAAAACAATTTTGCCAGTCTAACGGCAAAAGGCAATTTTTATTAATTCCTCACGCTTTTTTTTGGTAAATAGCTTCGCGGCTATTCAACCAGCGCATAGCCGTAGTTTTTTCTTATCCTTACCCAGCAAGTGTACACCTAGTACATTTCCTTCGGCATTCGTTTTTTTTTTGTTTTTTGTCTTGCTTTCTTTAGCCTTATTGGTTTGCTGCATGCGAGTATAAAAAGCAACAACTTCCGTTCAATTTATTGCCCTTAATTTGTTGCTTGCTATTTGCTGTTCTATACAGCACTACTTTGTGGTTTCAGCTGCTCATGTGTTCGCGCGCGTGTTTGCCCACTTCGTGTTTCTTTATCAGCCTGCAGCATGTTGCATGCAACGTTTCATATGCGCCTGCACTACGAGTATGTGTTGATAGGCATGTGACTTATTTATGTACATAGCTCACTTTGACCCGTCAGCACAGGCGAGTGCAATGAACTCACAGTGCATTGTTGCCACAAAAACCGCGTTGCTTGCCAGGCAACGTTGCAACGTAAACGCCAGCAAAGACCCGGGAACTTGCAAGACAGAGGAAAACAATAACAAAAAAAAAAAAAAACACCAAGCGACTTGCAGGACGAACTCAAAGCAAAAAAATAGGTCTGCCAAGTTTTCTACATACAGCTCTTATGGCTTGCATGCATGCCTTTTTAGTGGTGACGTGATGTGCAAAGCTGTTGCGATGTTGTTGCATGCCACCACAAATTTGGTCGAGCACGTGATGTGCCTCTTGGCTGTCGCTGTACAAAAAAAAACAAATGTATCAGTATATAGAAAAAGTGCACATACTAGTTAGCGTTAACAGTGGGATGGTCAAAGGGTAAACAATTCCAAGAAGGCTTCAAGAAAATCTCAAGTTTCGAAAAGTCCTAAAAAATCCATAAAGTAAGTTCCAAAAAAAAATCTTAGAAGTCCTAGGAAAACAGAAGGTTTTCCTTCAAAAAATCTTAAGTGTCGAAAAGCACGATTCTGAAAAAATCTGAAAAATGTTTCAAACAATTCCAGAAAGAGCCGGAAAAAAATTTAAAAAATCCCGAAAATTCCTCGAAAACAATGTCGATAAAATTCCGAATTATCCTGAAAAACTATGAAAAATAACTCGAAATAACATGGTATAGATAAGATCTCCATAACTTTCAAAAACAATTTAAAAATTAACAAAAAATCTGAAAAATTATTTTTAAAAAGTTTCGAAAGTCCAGAAAAAAATCTCGAAAAACCACGAAAGGTCACGCAAAAAGTTCCAAGTGGACCAAAATCATACCAAAAGGTTCCATAAACAAAATCAAAAAAAGTGCTGAAGACTCCCCGAAAAGTCTCAAAACAGTCTCGTTGAAAACTAAACCCGACATGCTCCTAAAACCACTCCGAAAAATCAAAAAAAAAATCATACAAAAATATTTCGAAAAAGTCTTCAAACAATTCTCAAA